TGAAACTCTAAATCCTTTGAGGGCTTAATGGATAATGGGAATTATCCATTGAGGGTTAAATGTGAGGAAGATAAGAGACAGGTATTAAAAATAGGGGCTTTGGAGAAAAGTCCAAGTACGAAATTCATATCTGTCTCCTCTTATTACTGTTATAAATTAATTTAAAACTTAAACAGGTCATCTGTAAGATGGGCAAAAGACTTATCTCTGAGGGTTTTATTAAGGAGAAAACAAAATGTTTATTAAGGCCTTAACACAGTGCTTGGTCTACAAGAACTAAATAAATTTAATCTTTAAAAAAAAATATATGAATAGTACAAATATTGTTCAAATGTCCATTTATCCATCTATATTCATCCAATATTTACTAGGTATCTACCCTTTGCTTAGAACCAGAGATAAACAACTGTTCCCATTCAGGAACTTTCACAGTTAAAAAGTGGGGACATAAAGAACCTAAAGTATCACAGGTATTGAGCAAAGGAATGTCAAGAATTCTGAGACAAGAGCCAATTTCTGTCTTGAGGTGGGGGGTGAGGCAAGGTTTCTGGAAGTGGATGACCTGTGCGCTCTATTGGATAAGGTGTCGCTCTATTGGATAAGGTGTCGGTATTTCCGAGGCAGATGGCAATGAACAGATAGGGGAACCAATCATTCCAGGGGCAAGGGAACGAAGGAGCAAAACTACAAAGCTCTCAAGGAACCAGATCCGTTCAGAGAGACGAGAGCCCTTCTGTTTGGCAGGATTATAACGACCAGGTGGAAGAGAACGTTGAAGAGGCGGGTAGAAAGATAGGCTAAAAAGAAAGTTGAGAGGGTTTACAGATTTAGAATCGACAAGAAAGGAGTTAAAGCAGAGGGCAGGAGAGATGACTGATAGGAAAAACGGGGAGATCAGGGAGGCGGAGATGACAAGGGGAAGAACAGACGTAGTGGGAGTAAGACAGCGACCAAGTCCAGGGAAGGGCAGTGGGAGCCTGGCAACATTCTCACATGGAGCGCAGAGCAGTGCTGCTGGAGCCGGAGCTTCTGGGAGCCGCGCCACCATCTACTTGGAAAATAGGGGAAACGGGGTCCTTTGTAAAGAGACAAGTTTTATTTAAGGCAAAAAGGACATTCTGAGGATAAGTCGAAAATATAGAAAGTTTATGAGTAAATAAGTTTCAAATAGCACAATAGAAAGAAAGGATGGGAAATAAATCAGTCATAAAAGAAAACTAGGTGGGAAGCGAAGAGCACTATGACAATGAGTGTATGCAGAAGAAAATATGAGAAAACTATCAATAAATATTTATTGAGTGCTTTTCACATATGCAGATACAGAAATGAACAAGAGATTCTTTTAGCTTCAAGGAGCTTACAGTCTAGTCAGGGAGACAAGAGGTAATTCCAGGTAATGACAAGTGCCATTAGAGGATAAAATGGGGGTATAAGATAAAAAATAAAAGAGGGCAAAACGTCTTAAATCTTGGCCAGAGGCTGAACATGAGAGGGCTTCAGGTAGCACTGATTTCAGGCCAGTTGAAATTAGCACAAATGTCGATTAATGGTTAAAAAACAGGTTACTGATGAATATTTCCAATGCCTTTCTTAAAAAAAAAAAGACAAAGACAAAACAAAAAAAATCCCAGCTTTACTGAGGTATAATCAACATACAACAAATTGTACAAGTTAAATAAATCCACAAGCTAATTAAAAATGTACAATTTGCTAAATTTTGACATATGTATACACCTCTGAATAGATCACCACAATGGACTTGAAAGAAAATGAACTTGTTCACATTCCTAAAAGTTTTCTTGGACCCCTTTGTAACTCTTCCGTCTTATTTGTCACACCCACCCTGTTCCTAGGCAAATACTGATCTGTTTTCTTTACATTCCTTAGAATTTTATATAAATGGAACCACACAGTAAGTACCCTGTCTGGTTTCCTTCATTCAGATTGATCCGTGTTATATTTATCAGTAGTTTATTCCTTTTTGTGGCTGAGTAGTATTCCACTGTAAGGACATAAGATTTTTTTATCCAATCACTTGCTCCTCGATACTTGGGTTGTTGCCCAGATTTTAGGTATTCTAAATAAAGCTGCTATGAATATTGTATAGGAGTCTTTGTATGGACATATGCTTTCATTTCTCTTGGACTGTAATATCTAGGAATGGAATCAACAGGTCATTCGGTGATAAATGATTTCACTTTTTAAACGAACTGCCACGATGTGTACTGAAGTGACTACCGTTTTGCATTCCCACCAGCAATGCCGAGATTTCCAGTCCTGCCAAGACTTGGTCCAGTCTTAGATACTCTAGTAAGTGTGCTGTGGGATCTCATATGATGTATGATCTTTGTTGAAGCATCTGTTTAAATCTTTCGCCCATTCTTTTAAAAATTGGGTTGTTTTCTTATTATTGAGGTTAGAGAGATCATTATATATTCTGGATACAGGTCCTTTATCAGAGATGTTACTTGCAAATATTTCACCCAATCTATGGCTTATCTTCTCATTTGCTTCAAAGTAGCTTTCAAAGAGGTTATTAATTTTGATGAGAACAAATCTGCTGAAAACACCACGCTTTGGTGTCATATCTAAGAAATCTTTGCCTTTCAAAGTTACAATAAATTTTTCCTACGTTTTCTTTCTGTAAGCCTTATAGCTTTTGGAGTCATATCTAAGAAATCTTTGTCTGCCTTCCAAGGTTGCAATAAATTTCTCCTACGTTTTTGTCTAGAAGCCTTATAGCTTCATCTTTACATTTAAATTTATGATCCATTTGAATTAACTTTTGCATATAATGTGAGGTATGGTTTGAAGTTCATGGGGGAGCATATGAATATCAAAGTGTTTCAGCACCAATTGTAAAAAAGACTATCCTTTCTGCATGACAGTTACTTTGCACTTAGTCAGAAATAAAAAGATCATCTACATTAAGTCAATCTCTTCTTTCTCTATTATGGTCCATTGATCTATGTGTCTCTATGCCAATAAGACTGTCTCGACTACAGTATCTTGAAATCAGGTAGTTTCAAGTCCTCCAACTTTGTTCCTTATTCAAGTTTAGTACTTGTACTAGTACTAGGCTGTTTCCATTTTCATAAGAATTTTGGAATAACCTAATCTCTACAAAAAAATCCTGGTGAGATTTTGATTGGGATCGCACTGAAAATACAAGTCAATCTGGGGAAACTGAAGCTTTGACAACATTGAATCCTCTGGTCTATGAGCACAATATCTCATTTACGTCTTTAGTTTCTCTCAGTGTACAATGGCTTTCAGTGTATACTTCTTATCAGATTTATCCCTAGGTATTTCCTATTTTTTGATACTTTGTAAATCATATTTTAAGAAATTCAATTTCTAATTTTTGCTAGCATACAGAAATACAGTTTATTTTTATTTACTGATCTTGTATCCTACAACCTTGCTAAAATCAATGATCAGTTTTAGTATGTTTTTTGGATGGTCTATAGGATTTTCTACATATGCAATCATGTGAATGAAGATAGTTTTATTTCTTCCTTTCCCAAATGTGTGACTTTCATTTTTTTCTTGCCTTGTATTGGCCCAAATCTTCAGTACAATGTTCAACATAAGCGGTGAGAGCAGATATCCTTGCTTTGTTCCTCATCTTTCATCATTTATGTTAGTGATATGTTTTCTGTAAATGTCTTTTAAGAGGTTGAGGAAATTCCTCTCTATTCCTAGTTTCTTTAAAGTTTTTATGGGGAATGGATGTTCGACTGTGTCATAGGCTTTTTTTGCACCTTCTGAGATGATCATATTTTTTTTTCTTTTTGTTTCTTAATATGGTGAATCACAATGACTGACTTTTAAATATTAAATCAACCTTACATTCTCTGGATAAATCTTTTCACATATTGTTGGGTTTCATATGGTAAAGTGTTATATAAAATTATATAATATTATATCAAAATGTTACATAAAATGTTAAGTAGAATAATGGAGGGAGTAACTGAACTGCTACCTCCCTTTGAGAACATCTATTTTTGTTAAATGATCCATGGAACATTTTATCAGCCAATGAAATACACCTGATTTGAAATGATGGCCTCCTGATTTCTACATAATAAACTCTTTGGTATTTATTTCCCTAAGGTGCAAGATTCAAACTAATCTATTAGCACTAAGAAGTAAAAATATTAGAGAGTTGGGAGATAATACTAAATAAAACAAGCCATCTTTCTTTGCTTATAAGATTCTATCAGGAAAATAAAGTTCTAAGGTTGCCTCCTATTCAAACAGACACAACTTATATTCACATTCTCGTTCAAAATAGTCTCTCAATTGCTGTTATGTATTTATCATTTTAATTATTATAGTGCTACTGAAGACATTTTTAGTTAAACTGTTTTTATAAGTATACATTAATCTGTACTACCAAGTAAATGTTTAAAGTAAAAGACATCGGCACATTCAATAAATACATGCAAATATGAGTAGATTATATAATTGCTGGGGAGTTGTAAAAAGCTGCATGGAAAGAATGAGAAGTCTTTATGTAAAAAGAAGAAATCTATCAGTCAATAGAATACTAGGCTGGATAGGCAAGAACATGCTGTGTTTGGTAACCAGCCTTATAGGATTTTACTACATGTATAACTTTAAAAAATTAAAGAAACTAAATAAAAGACAAAATAAGTACATTTTAAGTTAAAAAAGGAAATAAATCATTGTTAAAAAAAGTAACTGTACCTGATCATCATTTTCATCTGAAAAAGTTATTGATGTAAGCTTGTAGTTATTCTTCAATAAAAATTCATTGACTAAGAAGTTTAGAGCTCTCTTTTCAAGAGGTTTGATTGGCTCCTGGAGGCGAAATAAGATACAATACCATAAGGCTTCCTCCTTCCATATTTATGCTACTATTTCATGTGGAAGATACTTTTAGTTTTGTCATTCACCCACCTGAATTTCAGGACTTGATTTGTAATTTTTTCGTTCCTGTAAAGGAACTTCATGTTCTGGTGGAAAAAAAAAAATACTATTTTACTATTTTACATTTGAAAATATCCCAGCTATGTCTACATTGTCAAAGTAGAAAATTCTCAAAAAAGTTTTATGTACACCACCTGCAGCCTTTGTCAGGTTGGCTCGGAGGGCCTGAATGGTCTCCTTGGCTTTCCGTAGTTCAAACTCCAGGACTGGACAGGGATTTGGAATAAACACACACAGGCATCCAACCAAGAAAAGGGAAACAAAAATAAAAAAATAAAAAGCAAGGATGGGTATGAAAAAAAAATACAATCTGTATTGAAAACAGAAAGCATGCAATCTTTATGAAACTTGTGAACGCATGCAGCAGAGTTGATTTGCAAGCAAACTGGTGAATGTTTTCCATGGCTTTAGAATTCAGGGGACTATTGAGAAAAATGTTCCAGCTGTCTGACAAGGACTAGCTCTACTTAAGAATAAAATCTATGGCACACTCTCATCTAGGTAAATAAAAATATTAGTAATCTGGGTGCTTCTGCCTCACTCAGCCTAGGTAAGAAAATGCAATGACATGTTTTGAGGATATAATTTTAGGGGAAAAGATAAAAATTGGATGAAGTCCAAGCAAATATACTTAAAGAAAACTTTAGGATTAAAAAGAAGGTGTTTTTAAGTGCATTATTTAGAAATGCTATAAATTGATATACAAAAATGTTAGTGACTATATCCCTTCATTAAGGTGTTGGAGGAATATAGTTTAAATATTTAACAAATGTTGGGATGCCTATAAACTTTTCTACATACAAGCGTGTTTCTACAAGCATAGATACGTTAAAACATATATCGAAATAAAGTTTCTAAGGGTTTTTTTAGGTTTCATTTAAAGCCAAAGGGTGTAATAGTTTGCTTTTAATTTCTAATTAAGGTCACATTCTAAAGCAAAGGATTGTGTACAATTCTAAAAGTGTAATTATCTAAGGATATTAGGTAAAATTATTCAGAATTTCAAATTTTTTGATAACTCTTCAAAGAGATATTTGTTCAAGTTAAGAGGTACTAATGAAACTCAAAGATTTCTCCTTTTATTGGAGTCTGATTATAAGATAAACATTAATAGTGAGGAAACATTTTAATGAACTCTTTAAAATGTTTCATTATGAGCAAGATTTAACTCTATGTGTCTTAACTAGGATTTTTCTTTAAAATATAGAAACACTGTTCTAAAGTATAAATAAAGCCATTTCTGTGAAGTAAACCTCTAGGAAAATTAGGTCATCTTGTCACAACTGGCTATTAAACAATTATTGTATTCAGATAGTTCTGCATAAAAATGAGCAAATTAAATAAGCAATTTTTTCCTGATTGACTAATAAATAGCAAAAAGAAGATGGCAAATGAGATGCTATCAGAGACAACAAAGCTATAAAAATATATGGAAAAATTAGGATTCACTCAGTTTGCATATTTTCATTGAAAACTTAACATGTAACTGAATCACATGTAGTACATGAAGGCCAATTATTTTGATGCACAGAATTTCACTGCAGCAAAATGGAAGCACAACTAAAAATCAGATGACGTGTGTGTTACTCTTTGGTTTTTTTTTGGTAGTCAGCAATGCTGATCTGCAAACATTTCTGTGCAACAAAGTTAAAATATTTTCCCTAAAACTTATACTTCTGGAAAATCTTAAGAGTCTGTGTCTAATGTTAGACTGTACACATTCAGCATGTAAGATAAGTGCAGAGTAAGTTTACTTTTTTTTTTAATTGCAAAACTCTAGGTAATTGATTTTGATTTAAAAATACTTAACTATACTGTAAGTAAAATGAGTATATGTTTATGCTTTCAGTATCACTTACAATTTAGTAAGACATATTACAGAACAATTGCAGATCAGAAATGCCCTGCACCAGAAGATAGAAATATAAAAAAATAAATACAAAAAATGGTTACAACACAAAATGTGAAAAACTCAAATCCAACTTGTGAAAGTGTAGGTGACCAAGAACAAAACACTGAATGATCAAGGCACAGAAAGCCAGAAAAACCCATGTCAGACGGCAAGAATTTAGATTTTTATGCACATCTACACACACTGCCAAATGTCATTAAGTTACCAATGCTTTGAAAAGATAGTGCTTAACAAAATGAATTCACTCTGCTGCATGTTTCTTAATATACAATATAGACTTTAAAAGACAAAGGCATATCTTTGAAGCTATAGAGCATCTCTGTAAAGGCACAGTATGATCAAGTAATTGCAGTTATGTGACAAAGTTTCAGAAGAAAGGTGTAAACAGCTATATTTACACATATAAGAATGGGTCTCTTCTTTATTAAAAAATATTGGCTTAAAGCTCAAAATTAATTATGTAACAAGATACACTGTACCAAACAAATTTTATGTATTTTTCAAATATTGTAATTCTTCATGAAAATGTTTGAGGATGTATATGCTTTAAAAAAACCAAGTAGGAACCAAGTACCAACCTGCTCACTCCATTATCCCAACCCTCCAGCAGCCCAGTCCTGCTGAATGCAACGTTATTGGAACTAAAGTAATAACTGCAAAGATGTAGGTATATTTTAATAATGCATATTACAATCTTACCAAAATAATTAATGATATAGTCGGTGTAACCAACTGCAGATTAGTTGAAATGGTTATTTCTCAACCAGGGTTGAATAAGACTGGTATAACAGAAGAGGTATTTGAGTGCTACAAGATCACGGTCTCCTGACTTGGGAGATGTACAACTGACTATGCGGAAACGCCAAAGGTCAAGTGTTAAATTTCAAAGCAAACAAACAGACAAAATAAAATCTTTGGATGCCCCAACTTAATACACTACTAATATTATGGTGAAATATTTGCTAGTCTTAGTTCATTTTGGCACAATACTCAAATATTATTTTGGAAGATCTTTTCCATAACAGCAATGTATTTTTTTCATTCCTAGTCCTGTTCACTATTGAAGAGTTTAACTCATTAGGACTGAACCAAGGACCGTGCCATCTCACGATAGGCATGACGTTATCTTTTTTAAAGTCCTAAATTGTTTTTCTTCTTAACATAAAGTGGTTTGACTTCATAATAAACTACCACTTCCCTATCTTTAATACTAATCTGATTATCCCAGGGACATTTCTAGGAAAAGGAAAAATTCTCTTAAGACTATGAGTTACAATAAAAATCTATTCCTAAAATAATACAAAAATCCTAAGACAGTACTATCACCCACCCCTCTTGAGTTTAGAGAATTCTCCTTGTCTGTTATAGACTTCAGAAAGGCATAGCACTGTCGTTAGGCCTGACTTGGTAGAGAGTGGAAAATAAATGAACGGAAGCAAGGCGGAATCTCCAGTTTGTAGACACTGAGTTTTCTATATTCATCTTAATGAAAAAAAAACCTTCTTTCCCAAGCCTTAAAAGAAAATAAATTCTTTCCTTTTACTGTTCCTCCTGCTCAGGTTCTCTTACAGATTCCTCCATCACTCATCTCAGAGTTGGTGTTTCTCAGGGTGTCATCCTTGGCCCTTTTCTTACTCCACATATTCCACTGGGATGATATTTCACTCTTATGTTTTTAACTATCACAAGTACTCTGAAGATTCAGAAATCTATAAACCTGTTCCCCAGATACAGACCCACTTAATTATCCTGTGGACACGCCCACTTGAATGTCTCATAAGTTTTGAATTCAGTCCCATCTACAGGAATTTCATCATCTTCCTCTCAAATCTGTTCTCCTCCTCCTGCTGCAGGCTCTCTCCACTTTACTGCACCAGTATATCCCCAGCTGCCTAAAGGCGAAGCCTTGAGACTACTCTGCACTTATCCCCTGTGCTTACTGCCACACTAATTAAATGTCCAAGCCATACTGATTCCAACCCTTGAGTAACCCTCTGAAGAACCATTCATCTCAGTTGTCTCTGCAACTGTCCTAGCTCAGACCTTTATGATCTATCACATAAATTACAACAACCTCCATGTTAAAGGCGTGTGTGTTGCCTTTGAAGCCTTGTTGGAGCACCCATCCTATGCTGAGTCATAGAAAATCAAAAAGAAGGTTTAAGTTTTGAAATCAGAAAAACAAAATTAGTGCTAACAGGGAGCACAAATATCTGTACGAGGGGAGGAATACATACTAAACAGACAATAGGCTTGCTTACTTCTAGTAAAGCTGGGTATGTACGTGTATGCTGTAGGCCAACAGTTAAGAAATGAGAAGGATACTGCTGGGTCTTACCCAGGGCACAGGGCCAGGTTACCCCACAGGCAAAACTCTGAATGTTACTGAATGTCCACTAGATTATGTAAACTTTAAAAGGCTTCATATGTCTATTTTGTTGATTTTTGTTCCCAGAACAGCATAATGCCTTGTATACAGAGTAAGCACTTGAATATTTGTTGAATGAATGCGCATTCCAATACTTGATGTCATATGTAATAAATCTGAAACATTACTGATCTTACCAGCATTAAGGAGTGTCTTTTCTACAAATCAGAAAGCACAGTTTTTGTAGTTCTCTAGATCCCAACACAAAAGTTAAGGTGTGAACTAGAGCAGTAATACAGCAACAGGTAGAGATATGAGAACGAATAAAGTCAGAGGCTCTGATGCTAAAAGATGGATCGTGTGAACCTGAGGCAGGAACATAGGGGGTTCCAAAATTAACAAGGTCTTTATCACTGTTTCCAAAGAACATTTACTTGCATTAGAGACATAGACATGTTTCATTACAAATTCTTAGAAGGTGGAAATTATTTCATGTTTCTCTAGCTAGTGCATAACACAGCACACGCTCAAAAGGCCTAAAATAAATTAAAGAATGGCAATCCCCATAATTAGAATATAGATGTCCCTTGCTATTTTTTTAAGAAGGCTTGAAAATTTAAGAGGTATACTGTATATGCACCAAGTAACACTAGCTTTATTTAATAACATATAGAAAGCCTTCTACTAAAAAGCCAGTTAGATATAGCTCATTTTGGTTGGTGACTACTTAACTCATTTTTACATAAAAATGTACACTTCTAACTTCAGAAATGGAAAACATTTAAAATGAAAAGCTATAGCTTGGTACTAAAAAACATATTGCAGGCTCTGGAGTAAAAATCTATGTGTTCACAGTCTAAAATACCTAAACAATGAGACCAATGATGACCCTCTTAAATTTGATAAATCTAAAATTTAGGTTTTCAAATGTAAATTAATGGAAAGAAAATTATATGGCCAATTTCTGTGTAGGAGTTAGTTGCAATACGTAACCATTTGAACAATACAATATACAAAACTAGATGCATTTGATTATTCCTGATAAACTAAAATACCATGTGTTTAATATTTAATATATATAATCTAAAATATATACTAGACAACATTTACTATATAACTATATAAAGCATACTACTACTTAAAAATGATAATTAGTAGGATAAATATGTCCTAAAATTATCAAATGATGAATGTCTACTTGATTTGCTAATTTTTAGATATAACTGAAATGCTTGGGTGTTTTGATACAGCTGTGAATTAATAATGCTTATGACAAATCATGATATGATACAGGGAGCCACATTAAATTCTTCCAATGACTTCCCCATTCAATTGACATTGCTATTGTTTACACTGCTGAATCTTTTAGCTTCTGCTGAACTAAAAACAATTACATCTTTTTTAACTCACATAATATTGTCTGAGACTTAAACATTCAGTATCTCCATTCTTGAGCAATGAATGAAAATCATGTATTGGAATGTCATGTTTAATCAGGTCAAACTTCATCCTTCATGCTAAGAGGCAGCACATGACACAGTCAATTGTGGGCTCTGTTGCTGGGCTACCTGCATTTAAATCCTAGCTCTGCCACTAAAACCTTAAATAATCCCTCTGAGGGCCTCAGTTTCCTGGGGAGGTGAGGACGATGATAATTCTATCGTATAACTCAACGAGTTAATATACATTTAGGACAGTGTTTAGAATGGAGCAAGTGCAATGTAAAAATTAGCACTCACTTTTATTCATAATGACCATAATAGGTGAACATTTGGTAGGTTTTAATAATGCGTCCCAGTAAATGGAAGAAAAATTCAACCGAGTTGGTCAAGAGCGGAATCCACATTATGGGTGTTCCTTGACCCCATACTGTCCCCACAAGCTCCATCTGCCCAATGTGGCTTCCGGCTGTCCCAGAAGTGCCCACGATTCTGGTGGAGTTTCGTGTATCTAACTGATGCCTGTCTGCTTCCCCATCTCTCTCTAAGCCAATGTACTGTGAAAGCCGTAATTCCTACAGGGCACTCAAGAATGACTTCAATGACAGATAGGAACAATACTAGACATTTGACACTTAAAAGGAGCAGAGGCTGCTATACTGGTCAATTCCAGGGTGGACCCCCAATAGAATCCAACCGCCCTCATTTGATGTGGGCAGAACACAGGAAATACAAATTGGTGTTCTGAAGTGCCTACAGATCCAATGGTGACCACTAGAAGGCAGAACTGGGGGGCAGGGGTTGGGTGGGGAGGGGAAAGAGACTGGAATGAGCAACCAAGCAACTAGAAAGAATGCTGTTGGATCTTCTGACTGGAATGGGCAACGTCCTGGAGGCCCCTGCTGTACCAACCATTAATCCTTTTTTTCCTGGATCTTAGGAAAAGCAGGAGAAGTTTCGGGAGAGATGCTGTGATGGCTACGGAATACCTGGGGAACTCAAGACAAAGTTGGATTCACCAACGAGCTCAAAAGTATGTGAACCATCAGTAGAGTTGTACTGGGATACAACACCTGACTATCAGCCCTGGTTTGGAGGACCACAGGAATGAGGAGGCCAAGGGTGAACTAACTAGGTGGTAAACTATGGCTAACTTAAACCATGTTTACAACGACATGGCTGTAAATCGTTGGCTATAAGCAGAACTGCGCAAATTGTAGGTGTGCATAACCAATCAATCACAGCACCACTGGAAGAAAAGTTGGGGGTTGAGATGTTCCCTGGAGCCAATAAATTAGTAACATAATTTTGCACAGTAAATACATAGTTATAGTAACATACCAAGCTGAAGAAAGAAGAGAATGCCTCAAGTCGTTTTACTGTTTCTGGAATGTCAAAGAATCCAAATCTGTCTTCACAATCTTACTCACCTGCCACTCTCTCATCCGTTTCCCTGTTCCCATCATCTGAGTATCTTGCAAAGTCTAAAGAATCAAGGGTACTGATGCTCCCAGCACGATCTATAATGAAGAGAAAAAGAGAAGAACTAAACAATTTTTATTTATCAAAATAAGGAACTGGAAGTCAACTACTTACATCATTTCCAGTTAATAAAACTATGATTCTAAGATAAAGGCATAAGCAATGTGATAGGCAGAAGAATGACCCCTCATAGATGCTGACATCCTAGTCTCTGGAATCTGTGAATAAATTACCTTACATATAGATGGATTTAAGGTTGCTAATCAGTTGATCTTAAAATAGAGATTATCCTGGGTTGTTCAGGCTGTCCCCATGTAATTGCAAAAGTTCATAAGAGTGGACGAGGGCACAAGCCAAGGAATACAGGTAGCTCCTAGAAGGTGGAAAAGGCTTCCCCAAGTGCCTCCAAAAAAGGACACAAAACTCCCGACGCCTTGATGTCAGTCCATTTAGCCCATCATAAGACCCATTTCAGATTTCTCACCTACAGAACTGTAAAATAATACATCTGTATTGTTTTAAGCTACATTTGTGGTATTTGTTTACAGCAGCCATAGGAAACTAATACAAGAGATAATTGAGTGAACTGATAAACCGGATTTAATTAACATTAAAAACTTTTGTGCTTTAAAAGTCACTGTCAAGAAAGTAAAAACGCAGCCCACAAAATGGGATAAAATATTTGCAAATCAAGCATCTGATAAGGGACTCATATCTACAAAATGTAAATCACTCTTATATCTCAATAGAAAAAAATTCAGCACAATTTCAAAATGGGCAAAAGATTTATAAGGACATTTCTCCAAAGAAGATACAGTCATGTGTCACTTAAAGACGGGGCTGCATTCTGAGGAATGTGTAATGGCAATTTCATCCTTGTGCGAGCGGAGAGCGCGCTTACACAAACCTAGATGGGACAGCCTACTACACACTAGGCTATATGGTAGAGCCTACTGCTCCTAGGCTACAAGCCTGGACAGAATGTCACTGTACAAAACACAAGATTAAATCAAGCACGAGAAAAAATGATTCAATCAAGACACAAGGTAGACACAAGGTAAACACAAGATGTATGAGGCTGCTGCTGGTGTGACACAGCATATGGTTTTACAGCAGCTTTTTTAAATAAGTAGAAAGAATACATGCTAAAAGAATGATAAAAAGGATAGTACAGTAAATACATAAACCAGTAAGTTGTTTATTATCATTATCAATTATCATGTACTGTACATAACTGCATGTGTTATACTTTTATACGACTGGCAGCACAGTAAGTTTGTTTACACCAGCATCACCAGGAACACGTGAGTAATGAATAAGCTGTGATATTATGACGGCTATGACATCACTCGACAACGGGAATTTTTCATCTCCATTATAACTTATTGGATGGACCATTATCGGGTATGTGGTCTGTCCTTGACCAAAACATTATGTGGCGCATGACTGTATTTACAATGGCAAAGTACAAACGACCAAATGTCCATCAATGGGTAAATGAATAAAACATAGTATAGCCATACAGTGAAATATTACTCAGCCATCAAAAAGGAATGAAGTACACATACATGCTACAATATAGATAAACCCTGAAAACATGCTAAGAGAAAGTTATCAGACACATAAGGCCATATATTGTATGATTACATTCATATGAAATGTCCAGAATATGCAAATCCATAGAAACACAAAATAGATGAGTGGTCACCAAGGCTAATGACACAGGAGAATGGGCAGTGACTGCTAATGAGCAGAGGATTTCTTTTAGGGGTGCTGAAAATGTTCTGGAATTGAGAGTGGCAATGATTGCACAAGTTTGTAAATACATGAAAAAGCACTGAATTGTATA